TTATTCGATTTAAACTGCTGCTGCTATTGCTGCTGCTGTTGCTGCTGCTGCTGCTGCTGCAGCAGCAGCTGCGGTGTCTACGCATCTCCTATTCAGGCATCAGCAGCAATGAGAGGGCGTTGCATCTCCCCATGCTGCGGGTTGCTGCTGCTGCTGCTGCTGCTGCTGCTGCTGCTGCCTGGTAGGGGAGAGGACCTCAGGCCCCCTCTCCGTCGCTGCTGCAGCACGAAGACAACGAAGACAGCAGCAAGCAGCAGCGCAGCAGCAGCAATACCCAGAACCAGACCACTGGACCCATCGCTAGCTGAGAGCTCCCCGTCCTCAGCCTTGCTGCTGCTGCTGCTGCTGTTGCTGCTGCTGCTGCTGTTGTTTTCAGTTTCTCCTGCTGCTGCTGCTTCTGCTGCTGCTGCTTCGTCTGTAGTTCCTGTCTCTGTGCTGCTGCTGCTGCTGCTGCTGCTGCTCCCCAGCTTAAACCATTGCCGCCATCCTGCTGCTTTTGCTTCTGTGTGTTGCTCTTCTGCTGCAGTGTCTTTCTCTGCTGCTGCATCAGCAGCAGCAGCAGCAGCAGGAGCAGCAGCAGCAGCAGCATCAGAAGGGGAACCACCAAAGAGAGACTCTAAGAAGCTGCGGCCTGCTGGTGCAGCTGTGGTGGTTGTGGTGGTGGGGTTGTTGTTATTGAACATAAAGAAAGAGAGAAAACCACTCCCCTCCTGCTGCTGCTGCTGCTGCTGCTGCTGCTGCTGCTGCTGCTGCTCTGCTGCTTCTTCTGTCTTGCGTCCTAATCGCTTTATAAAGGCCCCCCAGGAGGATCCAGCAGCAGCAGCATCAGCAGCATCATCAGCAACAGCAACAGCAGTTGTTGTGGTGGTTGTGGTTGTTGTTGTTGTTGTTGTTTCTGCTGCTGCTGCTGCTGCTGCTGCTTCTCTAAGCTTTGCTGCAGCAGGAGTACCCCCCTTTACCTTACCCGAGCTGTCTATACACCCGGGGATCGTCGTCTCCAGCCACTCAGCCTTGCATGCAGCGTAGCAGTTTCTTTTGCTGCTATATTCATACGAGCTCAGCCCCTTCATCTGCTGCTGCAGCAGCTGCTGCTGCTGCTTCTTCTGCTGCTGCTGCTGGTTCTGCTGCTGCTGCTGGCTCGCTCGTAGAGAAAC